ATCATCCATCCATCCATCATCCATCCATCTATCCATTCATCCATCCATCTATCCATCAATCCATCCATCCATCCATCCATCCATCCATCATCCATCCATCCTTTGTGTGTGTGTGTGTGTGTGTAGTGTTTATCTCACCAGAAGTGTGTAGTAGATTTTGAATCCTGGCTTTGCCACAAAGTAATCATCAGACTTGAAGATGACTCTAAGTGCGTTGCTTTTGGAGTTGAGGCTGGGAGGCGATTTCTGCCCGCACCATCGACCCCAAATGATGGTGCTTGTCTCTGATTGGTCCTCCACTTCAACAAAGTCATACCTGCAGTGATAGAGATGTGGAGGTGGAGGGAATGCACAGGTTTATTGCAACAATTATGTCGATTGACGGCATCAGAAACCTCCGAGATCGTACAGTTGATCACTAAGTAGTTGATCTTCATGGAGAAGAACTGAATTGCCCATACTGGGAAATCAATAAGTCCAATGAAAAAGAGAAAATGAAAATCACAAAGCTATTTGTGGACATCTGGGGTTTCCATAGTGTATTGACAGCACAACTACCTCACAGAGAGAGAGAGAGAGAGAGAGAGTGAGTCATGGGGTTGATTCCCAGAGGAGCCACATACTTGGCGCCTCCGAGGGGCAGCGTGTTGCAGCAGATCTGCTGTTAACACAATGCTGTGGGAGTTGATTTTTTTTTTTTTTTTTTAATTTTAAGTCTAAACATTTCTGCTTTCTGTGTTGTTTCATTTGAAAATTCCTTCTTCGTAAATTTCTGGAGGCAGCAGGTAAAAACTCAAATTCCTCTGGATTTTTTCAAAGCAGACAAAATTGGTTGCAAACTCATTCCATAATCTTTTATCTTCCTTGATTTCAAAATCCCCCATCAGATGAAACAAAAAACGTTTGTTCACGTGTTGTGATAAATTTGAAGCTTCAAATACCGCCCTGCTCGCCTACAGAAATGCTAAAAAAAAAGGGCGGTATTTGAAGCTTTAAATTTATCAAATTTAGCTCGCCTACAGAAATGCTAAAAAAAAAAACAAATTACGAATGACAAATAAAAATAATGTTTTATGATGGAAGGTTGAGCGTTGTTTCAAAACTCTCTGGTATTAAAGGGCCTTGTGAGTTCAAACTCATAAAATAAAAAATAGAAAAATTCAGGTTAAATCAATGCAGCGAACATGGACGGGTTTAAAACCCTCAGCCACGGCTCGTGTCTCCCTTTCACTGCCTTTTTCTATTGTCAACTCTCTTCTCTCTCGTTC